GGGACATAGTCACTTTCTTGTTTGCAGGAACTGACTTATTCCCAGTCTCACTGTTACACAAGAAACACCCCTGTGGCTTCTTAGAAATCTTGTGTGAACTCCTACATTTCAAAATTACCCAATCAGTGGAATTAAGGGGGAGTGGCTTAGCTGAGGAATTGACCACCGGGAACCTCAGGGTTATCACGGAAGTTAGTCGCCAAGTTCAGCTGTCTGCCAAATTGAACACTCAAAATGTGGTAATTTGAGAAAACCGCAGAGAGGTGTCGCACGATTAATAAGCTCAATAAAAGCCGATTAAGCAGCAAGAATAAAGTCCTGCCAACTGTCTACTGGCAAGGACAGTTATCCTTATAAACCCCGGTTTTAATGAGAACCAATCAAATACATGCGAGGGATGGAGTAACTGTTAGCTTTTGAAAGAGAGACGGCGCTAAACTCAGATACTTCGAGCCGCAAGCCAACTACCCACAACGTGTGGGACAACTTCTGCTACAGGTAATGTATAAAAAAAAGGTGTAAAACTTCATAAAGTCATCTCACCAGAAGGTCCACCATTTTGTAATAACGTGGCATACAACGCGTGAGGGATCAAGGAGTCAAATCAGTGCTCAGTTTAGTTATGAGGATGAACTTTTCCTTCATAAAATATTTTAGTTTTTTTTGTTTAATCAGCAATCAGGATATACATTCTATAATCTAATATTATAGGTGTTTAAATGACATGATGAGGAGGCGTCCAGCGGCGAATCCTAGGTAATTCAAATCAGGTCAATTGGCCAGTTTCGTTTGAGTCGTCTGTTGTCTTCTCTTGTCGATAGCGTCTTTAGGAGTGGATTTTTGTGAGTTATGATTTTGTTGTGATGTCTGTTGCTTTTTTTGTTGGATGACGTCTTGTACGGGAGATATACCAAGATCGGAGTGGAGAGTTGCTTTCGAGACATACCACGGTGCGTCGACTATCATTCGTAGGACCTTAGATTGGCTTCTTTGGATTATTGCTGTGTTGGATTTGCTGGCGCACCCCCATAGTTCCAAGCCGTACATCCAAATAAGAATGATTATAGTCTTGTAGATCAGAATTTTATTTCCGACGGTTAGCTTTGATTTTCTGCCTATTAGCCAGTTTACCTGTTTAATGGTTAGGTCTACTTGTTTTAGTTTCTTGACTATATGCTGCTTCTATATTAGTTTGTTGCCTATAGTCATACCTAGGTATTTTATTTCTGTTTTGCGTGGTATTTGGATATTATTGATGTATATATCAGGTGTCGGCTTTTTTCATAAGGTGAAAGTTATGTAGCAAGTCTTGTTTTCATTTATTCTGATGCGCCACTTCTCGAACCAATTTTGTAATGTACTAAGGTGACGTTGAAGGTCTGTTGCTGCTCTCTCTGGGTCTTTGTTAATTGACAATATAGCTATATCATCGGCAAATGTTCCAAGAGTTATATTTGAGGAAGTAGGTAGATCAGATGTAAATAAGGTGTATAAAGTTGGGCCAAGGACACTGCTCTGTGGGACGCCTGCTTTTATCGGTTGTGGTTCAGATTTTTCATTTCCCACTCTTATTTGAAACTTGCGGTCACTTAGGTAGGATTTGAGAAGATTAAAATATGGTGGTGGAAGGCTTTGTTTGATCTTGTATAGCAGACCTCTATGCCACACCCTGTCGAAGGCCTGGCTAACGTCTAAGAACCCTGCTGTACAGTAGCTTCTGTCGTCTAAGGCTTTGTTAATGATATTTGTTATTCGATGGATCTGCTGCATGGTAGAGTGGTCTTGACGAAATCGAAATTGGTGGTGTGGAATCCACTCTTCTGGCCTCAAATATTTGTTTATTCTTCTAAGTATAAGTTTTTCAAAAACTTTCAACGTCACTGATTTGATGGATGCTGATTGGGCAGTATGAAGTGATTTCTGTTGGATCCTTTCCTGGTTTGCTATCGTGATTATTTGTGAGATTTTAAAGTGTTTAGGCCAGTAGGACATTCTTATTATTCCATTGAGGATGTAGGTTAGTACTACTATTCCTTTTTTTGGTAGTTCCTTTAGCATTTTTGGTGTGAATTGGTCTAGTCCGGGTGTATTTTTTAAAACCAAAGATTTTATCACTTCTTTGATTTCCTTCGGGGAGGTGATTGTCAGAGTCTGTTGTATTTCTATGGGAGCTGCTAAGTTTTGTTCTATTTCTCGATCTCTTGCCTCATTATGCGGAGTAAATACATTGGAAAAATGTTTTGCGGAGAGTTCAGATTTCTCTTTATTACTTCTTGCCCAGGGGCCTGCAGTTGGTGTTGTTTCTCGTATTGGTGGCGAGGATTCTTTAGGTTTTTTAATGTTTTTAATAGGCTTCCATATTGAGTAATCATACCTGCTGAGGTTTTGTATGTAATCCGTAAAGGATGATTCTCTCAGTTCTTTTACTTTGGCTTCTAGCTTATTTGTTAACTGGTTATATCTGGTTTTATCGGTTGGGTTGTGGGTTCGGTGCCATATCACTCTTGCCTTTCTTTTATCCTTTAGAAGTTGTTTGATTTCTAAAGGAGTGCTGTTGGTACTTCTTTGCGATTCCAGTGGAGGTGTGGATTGTTAGTGTTTTGTGTTTAGTGTTAACACTTTTGTTAGTGTTTCAATTGCAAAATCTAGGTGTTCGGCATTCTTCAGCGTTATTTTTAGATTTATATTGTTTGCAATTTCTTCTCTATATTTTTCCCAGTTGGTATTATGGTTATGTAATCTTGAAGTGTTATGTCTGATTATCACTGAAGAACTTATGGTCGTTATAATGGGAGTATGATCTGATGAAAGTTCAAAATTAGGGACTATGTCTGTATATGCTGCCGAAATTCCTTTTGTTACAAAAAAGTCTAGCAGGTATGGTGTTTTTGCAGGGTCAGTTGGCCAGTACGTCGGAGTTCCACTTGAGATATATGAACAGTTATTGTCCTGTGTAAGTTTTGCAAGTTCCCTTTCTTTCGTGGTTGTTAGTCTTGAGCCTCATATGACGTTTTTGCTGTTATAGTCTCCTCCAGCTATGAATCTCTGGCCTAATGCGCTAAAGAATTGCTCAAAGTGTTCTTTTTTATGTTGTGCCTAGGGGGGCAATACATCGCTGATATAGTTAATCCATAAGGGAATGTACTGACTTTTATAAAAGTGGCTTGTAAGTGATTCTCCTTGTATTTTTGGAGTTGGTAATGATCAATTGTTTGCTTTATGAGAATAGCAGTGCCTCCGTGTGCGGTGCCATCTGGATGATTAGTATGTTACACTCTGTAGTTTGGAATTTTGATATTACTTTCTGCTCTGAAGTGCCTTTCGCTAATGAGCAGAATGTTGCTCTTTAAGGAACAGAATCACTTCGTCTTTGTGTCCAATAAGACCATTCGCATTCCAGAGTGCTATTCTCAGAAACTTAGTTATTACTTCAGTTTGTTTATTAGCGTGGTTAGCATGTTAAGTACTAAGCTATTTTGCTGTGTAAGTTGATTAAACATCTGTTTGAATTCTTCTAGAAATTTGCTTAGCGTTGCGTCTTGGCTGTTGTCGTTTTTACCTCTGGTTACGTCTGCATAGGACCTGTTTACTCTGGGAGGCAGGATTGGTGGTGTGTTGGGTAGGGGGGCAATAGGGTGAGGGTCTGGTGCTGCAGTGTAATTATCATTTGGAATTTTCGTTTTTGGGTTGCATTTCTATTTTTAGTTAAGTTGTGGTAGTATTCACAGCCCTTGTAATTTGTGGGATGCGATCCTCCACAAAGGCCTCATTTCGCCGGGGTGTCTTTACTCTTTTTGCAAGTTGTTGAATTGTGATGTCCACCACATTTGACACACAGCTAAGGCCTATTGCAATAGGTCTTAGAATGGCCGTACAACTGGCATCTTGTGCACTGAATTATGTGCTTGGATTTATTAGGCGGTTCGATTTCAATGATTTTGTTTTGGAGATTTCTTATTTTATACACTTCCTTGTTGTTGTTTGCTGACTCTAAATCTACAAAGAATAAGTTGAGCGGTTATTTAGTTTGACGATGCTTTGCAGTGATTATGTTTCTGACCTTGTGGCCTAGTACATATAATTCTTCCGTTATGTCCTTTAGTTCTACAGTATGGTGTAGGTGCTTTATGACTATTTTATAGGGCCTTTCGTCTCTTGGTTGGTACAAATGGAATATGATGTTGTTTTCTCTCATAAAGTTTATCATCTTCCTGTATGTTTCTGGGGAGTTGCAGTTTATTTTGATTATGTTGTGTGCCATTGACCTGGTGCTGTAATTCTCTTCTTCAGTTACCACAGCTAAGTGATTTATCATCTGAGGATAATTTATGACGTCATATACGAATATTGGTGGAGGTCTGGGAATCTTCTTTGTTGTGTTTGCGTTTTCTGTTTCTTCTTCATTTACTGTTTCGTTTGGAGGTAGGTCATATCTGTTGTTTGTTGTTACCGTTGCTTCTGAAGGATTGTTGTTTTGGATGACTTTGTTTGTTTTCCTTCATTTGGTACCTCTTACTTTTTGCCATGCTGTAGCGTTAGTAGTTTCAGTGATGTCCCCATCTTGTTCATCACCAGTGGTGGGGATTGTTCTGCGCAGTTGGTTGCGATGATTTGGTAATGAATTGGGTCATCTATAGTCGGTTGGGAACTGCATGGGAGATTAAATGTGTTAGATAAGAAATGTTGGTTTTGCATGTGTATTGGAATTTGTGTTGGTGGAGTTACTTGACTGATGATGTTGGTTGCCACTGGGTACTTACAGGTTGATACATTTGAAAGTTGTTGCATCCTGGTCCATTGCTTGCTGGTAGCATTTCTTGTCTGTATTTAGGTTTCTTCTGTTTTGATTTGACACTTACAAGTCGCCACTGTAATTTATTGTAATTGGTTGTATTGTTAATACGTCTTGATTTTCCACTGAACACTGTAGCTAGCTTTCTATCTCACTCGGAACTTCAGATCGGTAACCTCTTAGCTCTCACAACATGTCTGATCACCCGAAGCGCACGAACAATTCTCATAAAATATTTTGAGTAGCTTTTCTGTCTGTTGGTTCCAGCTAAGTAAATTAAGAAGGGACAATGACATATACTTAGGTTTGAGTATGGTGTGGTTTTGGAATTTATTGTAGTATTACTTATTAGTGTAAAACCGAGATTAACGACCGTGGGGATCCGTTGCACGGACCACGTGACACCCCCTATCCACAAGAGTTGGCACTAACTTCCCCGACAAGAGGCGGTCGCTCTATCGGTATAGTTCGATTGCAGACTACATGTCACAGAGTTACTTCGTATACGTGAAAAATATCGCCCAGTTGGAGGCGAACAGTTCGTATCACCTCTTAAGGGTTAATGATCTACATTTCAGGCCAACAAATTATAACATTTGCCAAGTTTACATTGTTTGCTGTTAAGCACTTGAATGTGAAACGCGATATACGTAAGAAAAGGTAAAAGCTATCCTGTAACAGACTGCGGAGGCCAATAGGGTTGTGAGACGTCGAGGCTCCCACATTTTGTATTCTGCTCACGCATGGCGCCCAGGAACACTCCTGGTACTCATTTCTGTTAGCGGTTGAGTCAATACTATGCCACCACAGTGAAGCTGGGAGGTATTAAGTCAACTGAAAAATCAAATGATCTCATCGGGAATTGAACCCGCAACCTTTCGGCTTGCAGCACACGGAACACAGTAAATTTCAGGTGTACAAAATAGGTAAAATTTAACAGACTTTGGGTGGAACCAGCAGCAAAGAACGTAAACATAAAATGCTAATTGAAGTTTCACTAGTTGCACTTCAATCTATCTGCAACTATCTGGCTTTCCCAAAGCCATTCTGCATTAACACTTGTTGTTTACATTATTATTCAGACCTGAATGTCCCGACTTCGGCCAATGAATTGCCGAGGTTTATTGTACATCACGAAACTACCCAGGCAGTATTATAATGCAGTAACCATGCATAGTTAGCTGAAGGCGACCTTGTAAGCTACATATTATTCCACTCACTTTCAAGTCTGAGGGCATGTAATATATAAATCCTGTAAGCGGTAACGTAGTTGGTTGAGGCACAATGCTACAAGCCGAAAGGTCGTGGGATCGAATCGCAATGAGTTCATTGGATTTTTTCAATTTACCTAATCTTTCCAACCGCACTACTGCCCTGGGGTCAACTCAGCCTCTAACAGGAGTGAGTACCAGGAATATTCCTAGGGGTAAAGAGAGGCCGGCGTGTAAGGCTGATAAACTTTCCACCATCTATGAACCTATTGTCTAGAAAATGTGGGAGCCTCAACATCTCTCAACCCCATAGGCTTCCACGGCCTGTTACAGGACACCTTTACCTATTTTTTACCATCCTATTATGCATTAAGAAAATGCAGAAAAAAAGGAACACGAACTGAAATAATGTACACCTTAAGATGAGAATGTACTATACGTATTACATTATAGTACTTAAATATTCTACAAATGGTTCAACCAACCCCTAGTCAATTACAGTGAGTGAAATCGAAACATTACTATCAAGTCTGAAGGCATGTAATACCTGTACCAACCTAGTATGACGTAGGATAATGGAGAAGACACTAAAATGAATTGAGATAATATATGGGCCATTCTAAATTACTGTCACGGAGGGATTCCTTGGCCTATAATTTTCAAACCTTCCGTGCCACGAAATGTGTGTATGGTGCAAGTTCTATTCTGCAGCATTTATTCTACAAGCAGAACCTCTTTAGTTACACTTCATATTCTATCAGCAGTTCTATTTCATTATTCAGTGTTTGATTTTTACTGGCCAAGGAAACCCCGACAATAATTGAGAATTACAGAGATGGGAAATACATAATATATTGTGACGTGGATGGCACAACAGGAAATAGGGGTCTCGTGAACTCTTGTGTTCTCGCGGCGGAGATCACATACCCCCACTCCTTCAATCATTACGCAACGCTCGGTAAACACACTCCCACCCCCGGTGACGTAACAGCATTTGGGCGGTTGCTACGTTAACAGGCCAGTAAACACTCCGCCCCCCTCGGTACATAACAGAGGTCACCGCTTTTAACACGGGGCAACAGGGAATGGTATAGAAGGCCGACTGAGCGGTGTGTGATATTAGGAGTGACACATTGTGGATCGTGAAGTCACCGAGAACAGTGGAAGTAACTGTGATACTGCCGATGGCAGCAGTCGTGAAACTGTGAATTGTGTAAATGAAAGAGCGAGTGTTCTGGATCTAGCCAATTTATTGAACACTTGCTCCTACATTTACACAATTCAGTTTCACAACTACTGCCATGGCAGTATGACAATACTTCCAATGCTCTTGGCGACTTCACGATCCACACAGTCACTCCTAATCACACACCGCTCAGAAGACTTTTACACCATTCCCTGTTGCCGTGTTAACAGAGGTGACCCCTGTTTGGTCACCGCGAGGGGCGAGCGTAGTATTTACTGACCTGTTACCGTAGCAGCGGCTTCTATGCTGCTACGTCACCGTAGGGGGAGTATTTACCCAGCGTTGCATAATGATGGAAGGAGTGGGGGTATGTGACGTCACTCAGGACATTGCAGAGTTCATGTGAGCCTTACTTCCTGTTGCGCCATCCACGTCACAGTATTTACAGGATGTCCATGGAGGAATGTGCCTTACTTCGGAAGGGTGTTCCTTATGTTAAAGTATGGCGATATAACCCAAAACATCTATGTTCAAAGTTGAATGGTTACGGAGATAATGGCCTGAGAAAAGTGTGGTCTTCTGGCGGGTCCATGCACTGTACCTGTCAGCTGACATGTCTTATTGATGTTTGTCCGGCAGTGTGGTGATGCTAGCTCACACTAGCCGCATACACTTGCATACCAGAATGCGCAGGCAGCCGTGTTACGTTAGTGTTTGCCATTCATGTGTCATGTATAGTGCTTGGAACCCTAATGACAACTATGACATGGTGTGCGAGTTTTTTTTATGTAGTTCAATTTAATGGCTTCATGTCACTAACAAGTTAGTTCGTTACGTACATTATTAACATTACAGAAACCACATATTCCTTCCAGTTTTAATATGTATCAACAAGTGTGTAACACTTATCAAAGTTTCACAATTCTCTCCGTAACCGTTCAACGTTGGACATAGATGTTTTGGGTTATATTGGCATACTTTAACATAAGGAAAACCCTCCCGAAGTCTGGCACATTCTTCCTGGGACACCCTGTATATAATTTGGCCCATTGCCTAGAGACAGTGATGCTTAATAAGTAAAGAATCAGTTGTCAACGAACTTACCACGAAGTAAAGAAAATAACCTGTTACAATGATGCCTGTTGCCACAATACACGCTCGCTCCAGCTGGAACACAAGCCAGTACAAGAGATATATAAGAATTAATTCTATTGGGAACTCATCTACTGATCAAGTGACTAAGTTTCTGAAAGATACCTTTCTAAATATATGGAAATTTATTATTTTCCAAGTCCCTTCGTCGAAATTTGAATGAATCTCTCTCTCAGAAAACAATTCAGTACATCATTTAGCCAAAATTGTTTTTGTCTTGTAGTGAGCTACTTAGAGACTAGCTAGAGGTTATGCATCAATTATTGCTTTTCTGAAATTTACGTTTAATCTTCCAATAACATGGAGGAAAGGCCATGTTATCAAACCTGAAAAATAATAAATAAAACATGAGAATGCTACACAAATGCACATTTACACTCCAAATATCTCACTTGTTACAGTAATGTCAATTCTTCTCTTTAAATGAGCATGGCAACCCCGTAAAACCCACAGCATTATTTCACTGCCTGTTTAGATGAGTGCAATCAAAGTAACTACACGTACTGGCTCCCGAATATACGAAAAATAGGATATTAATTCAAAAAAGCTTGCGGAAATTCTCTGAAATATATAGCAGGTGTGGGGCAAATGGTGGAATGAGAACTGGTAGGAGAAACTGGAGCACACAGAGAAAACCCTGCCCAGTGCCACTTTGTCCGTCACAAATATTAAGAGGCATTTTCTGGGATGGAACCCGGTGAAAGAAGATGCGTGAGCTACTAATCACCTGTGCTATGCCACAGCCTACTCTAACCCATATTTAACATTAAATTATGTATGCTAGCAACTGTGGATCCATTGTGTTGATGCTTAGAATTACAGTATAAACAGTGTGCATTCATCTACTGATATCCTCACTGGTGAAAGGGGATATTGTATCTGTGGGTTATGAATCACAAGACAATATGCACAACATGTTACACATTAAATGTAACTCGACTATCAGGATGGGATATTCGCCAGTTCAATGGACAGTCACGCAGATCACATGGTTCCGGAATCTGGTAGACCGCGGCGGAAGCCAGCTCATGGATGAGCCTATTCCCAGTAAAGAACAAAATCTTCGAAAGAGCAGTACTCAAGAGATTATGCCAGGTAGTAGAAGAAACCCGACTCCTCCCGTACAGAAACCCTCTACCATAGAACAAGTATACTCCGAATTGCACAGATAATAAGAGGAACTGTATTGCTATGCGGCGCTCCCAGATATCACACAAGCGTATGATAAAGTATGGCACCCAGGCCTCTTGTTCAGAATCATAGAAACCTTACCTATGCAGAATACTGAATATTGGAATCACATCTAAAGGGGCCCATACACATATGAGTCTGGCTCGCGAGTCCGACTCGGCTCGAGTTCCAATGATCCAGACTTGTCCGTGTGTCTGTCGCAAAGTTGGGAGTCAGCTCATGCACTTGTGGTGAAATTAATCTGAGTCAAGCTCGCCGAGCCAGACTCGTACGGATGGGCCGTCTCAAGTAAAATTCAAAGACGAAACCAAAAACTTAAGGAAAAGAAAAGCAGATGTACCACAAGGAAGTGTCTCAGGACCTGTCCTATTTCTTATCTACGCAAGCGACCTCCTGACATCAGACAACACAACAACTGCTACCTTCGCGGATGTTACATCAATCTTAGCAACACATGAAGGTCCAGTGATAGCCTCAATGAAACTCCAAGCCACTGTGAATAAATTTGATTGAATATTAAATTAAATAGAGTTATAACTAGGGTTTCAAGCTGGTTTCGAAATAACAATCTGGTCCTTAATTTGAGTAAAACTCACCTGATTAAATTTGTGACTCTTAAGTCTCCAGAGTATACATTATTGGTAACATATAATAATTTTAGACTTAAAGATGTTGATAATATTAATTTTTTTAGGTATGTATTTAGATTGTCAACTTAATTGGGAAAAAAATCTGAAAAATTATTAAAGAAACTGAATACAGTGTGTTTTATGCTCAGGAAGTTACAACCCTTGTTAGTGAACAAGCTCTTCGAATAGTCTATTTTTCTTATTATCAGTCTCAGCTTGAATATAGAATTATATTCTGGGGTTCTTCTCTAGTTATGAAAAGATTATTTGTTGCCCAAAAAAGAGGGATTAGGGTTATGCTGAGATTGAGTCTTGGAAACTCGTGTAGAGGTTTTAAGAAGTTGGGTACTTTGACGGTTTCTAGCCTATATATCTGTTCTATATTGATGTTTGTTATTAGAAATCGCAATTTTTTTCAAAACAATTATATTCATCATATAAACACTAGACAGTTTGGAAAGCTACATGTGTCATAAGTGAGATTATCTTCAATACAGAGAGGGGTGTTATATTCATCCATTATGGTTTTAATAATCTTCCTCAAAATATACAAAGGTTGAGTGTTAATGTGAAGATTTTTAAACATGCACTGAAAAGTTTCCTCACAACAAATGCATTTTATTCAATAGATGAATATATTTCTGCTAAGCATGTATAACATTTAATAACTATATTCCTTGTAATTTTGTTTATGAATGACAATGTAAATTATGGTTACTTGGTGCTTTTGGTTTTGTGTGGTTGTTTGCTGTTGACACAATTGTATTTCTGCAATCAAATCTTATTTTGACAAGTTCAATATCCGGTCCGATTCGGACAATGGATCAGTGAATTTATGAATTATGTATGTATGTACGTTCACATAAGGCAATTTGTTTTCGTTTTCATAACTGAAATCGGAATTATATTGTCTGAAATGTGTTGCCTAAAAGTATGACGTAAAATCTAAATAAGGTTAGGTTCAAAGGGCAAGTGTGGTTGTTGGTTTTCGTATTGTCGCGTATTGGGCGTATAACGCGACAAATAACATCACGATGTATTTGATGTAGCGAATTTTATTTCACATCCGCTCTCACAATCACCCAAATTACAGATTTACGATTACTGCTATCTGCAGTATCACAATTAGTACACTCCAAATGCCGACTAGTTGCTGGCTAACTCGGCGGTAGCTCCAAGACTGACTGACTCAGTACAACTCCCTGTGAATAGCCTTCGCTGCTCCTTATGTAGCCTTGATCGGACCATACGGAAAACGGCCACGTAATAGGCACCCTTGTTGCCTGGCGATGTGTTGCTAGTAACGCTAGCGGAAGTAACCGCTGTTACTACCGTAACAATCCTGTTGCGTCACCGTGCGGAGGAGGGGGAGGGGAGCGCTGACTCACCCGCCGCGTCACTGCTGGTGGGGGGGTTCTCCTTTGCGCAACATGTCACAGTATTAACAGTCTCGTATTCTAGGAAATCTGCCCCTTCTCTTGAATAGCATAATTAATAATTGACTTGGACACAATACCGTAATATCTGATTGGCGTTCCGAAGGTGTTGGGCCATGTTAAATTCTGAAACGGCCTTGTTTGACTTTACTTCCAGTTGTAGGTATAATAAACGAAAATGGTAAATAAGTACACTAGGAACCCAAGGAGCTACATTTCCATTAATGTCCGAATTTTAATACTCTGCGCTCATGAATGACAGTGCCTTATGTATAACCCTACTTTGTCTCTTTCTTGTTCTTCTGGCATCATTTATATTTTATATAGATCAGTGAACAAATAGTCTCCAACCTTTTCCTTTGTCATAGGTATTCCCCTTTTGATTTCTTGCCAGTTCTGCCCTGTCTTCTTGATGCCTTACATTACCAGATTGAACCGTCTTCTTCTCAATTAACACACGTTTCTTTTCTTACAGGTTTTAATTCTATGTCCTTGTTAACGTTGGCAACACTCTAATGTTAAAATATAATGCTAGAGTTGGCAACGTCATAGTAAACAATTTTCAATAATAGACTGCGCTACATGCGCTGTCTCTAATTTCTCTGCCGTTATGTGTTACTACGGTTACGTGTGTAAAAACATAATCTTTCTATTGTTATGTGTGTGAATATATATAAAACGCCTTTGTTATTATTGATACACAAAGGCGTTTTATATATATTCACACACATAACCATGGTAACACATAACAATAGAAAGATAAATACAAATCTTCTATCTATATATCTTGTATCTTCTATCTTCTATCTATATAAAGAAATTATACTGTTTGGTAAAAACAGAAGGACTGAATTTTCTCTAAGCAGCCAATACAAGCAGTCAATTGAAAAACACAATGAAGCCGTGAAAGAGAACAGGAAATTTGTAGGCCAATTAATTACAGCAGTTTGTTTTTGGGCTCTCAGGGTTTAGCATTTCAGGGACATGATGAAAGCGTGGCATCTGTTAATAGAGGAAATTACATTGAGGTTTTAAATATGCTGGCACGTTGTGATTCTGATTTACACAATCATTTACAGTCTTCAACTGCTTTTCGTGGTTCTTCTCCTAACATCCAAAATGAACTGATACATTCTATACCTGAATTGATGACAATGGAAATTAAAAAGGAAATTTCAAAGGCTAATTATGTTTCTTTAATTCTTGATGAGACTTCAGATGTGATGATGAAGTGTCAGTTGGCTTCAGCTCTTCAATATGTGACAGCTGATGGCAATGTTGAAGAAAGGTTTCTGCGTTTTACAGATGTGAGCTCTGACCGTTCTGCTAATTACTTGTTTAACCATGCTCTTGAGATTTTAAATGATTTTGAATGTGGTCCCAAACTCATTGCACAGACTTCTGATGGTGCTGCTGTTATGGCATCACAACATGCAGGAGTACAAGCAAAAATTCGCGAGCAGTATCCAAATGCCATTTTCGTTCACTGTTATGCGCATAGACTAAATTTAGTCTTAGCACAATCTGCTTGTTTTATTAAAGAAGTTAAGGTCTTCTTTGGTACTCTCTCTGGCTTTAGATCTTTTTTTGCCAAGTCCACAAAAAGGACTGAGGCATTGGATTCCCACCTTAGGAAAAGATTTCCTTCTATCGCACCTACTCGATGGCAGTACCATAGTCGACTTGCTGAAACTGTGCATGAATACAGAGAAGGAATTGAGAATCTTCTTGTGTCTATAATAGAGGAACCAGAAGAATGGGATGTAGAAACAATTTCTTCTGCACGCGGAAGGGATTTCAATTTCAATTTCATGCTGAAAATATTTTCTTCAATTTTTCCATATTCTGGCGCTCTTTTCAAAATCCTACAAACTAAGAGATCTGATNGATATAGCTTTTTGCAATACCAAAATAGACGAATTTAAGCATCACATGCAAAAATTAAGGGGAGGATTTGACCACCTTTGGAGTGAAATGGAAAATGTCTTTTATTCAAATGGCCCAACTCAACCCAAAATAATTCGCATTGACTCAATGAGTGGAGAAAAAAAGAAAACTCTCCTATAAACGGCTGTTCTGTGAAATTATTGTTGTCGTGTATCACAATGTCTCTGTTAGATTTTCAGAGAATGCTACGCTCCTCTTCTTGAGTCTTCTCGATGCCAGATAT